GGGGGGGTACACCGCTATTTATTCTCCTACAAACACTTATTTTACAATCTATGTTAAGTCGTTGAATGGAGATAGTAGCGCAACTCTGTATAGTTATTCTCAAACGTATAGATGGAATGTAAATTGGTATGGGATTTCTCTTTAAAACTCGTTTAGTATACAAATTCACTTGACATTATAGATTTTTTTATTAACGAATAAAATGAGAAAAGTTATATTCTATTAAGTATCTGTGTAAATGGTGTAAAAAATAAAATCTATTAATTTGATTAAAAGTAGTTTTGGGGGAGACTATGGCTTCAAATATTTTGAAATGCCATACTAAAATTACAATCTGACATTTATAAACTATCATTTTATGTATGATAAGTTTACAAGTAAAAATTTGTTCTAATTCTAATGAAATTTGAGTGTATGATCTATCCTAGCTTTTAACATATCTAACCGTATTTGATTTCGTGCATGGGTGCTCGATTTGACCCTGTTTTCCTATACATAGGTAAAAATTCTTATTATTACCAATGTAACAAGAATTATTTGAATGTGCTAGAAAAGCTTTTCTAGCAAATGTATTCATTGATGGTGGTGATATCGAATAAACCAATCATAAAGAATTTATCATTATAAATGACTGTAAACATTCGGTATCGCTAATTTAATAATCAGCATATAAAAGCTCATAATAAAAATGTATATATGGACAATTTCATGTCGAAATTAATAAGACACATGAAAACTACAGCCTGTGTAATGAATTAACAGTATATATAAACAAGCGTAAGATATGTGTATGAGCAAAATTAATCATCTCTTAAGATAATTTGACAAGTATTGATGAAAACCGTAGTTTATGCCATAAGAAACAGATAGTCTTATTACTAGTCATCGAATAACCAAACTTTTCATAATTAAACTATAAGTACCTAAACTTGATATTTCGATTTTCTGATATAAAAAAAGATTGTTCACTACAATATAAGTTGATTTAGTTTATTGTAAGGGTGTGGGTGTGGGTGTGGGTGTGGGTGTGCGTGGGTGTGGGTGTGGGTTGGTGTGGGTGTGAGTGTGGGTGGGTGGGGGGGTGGGTGGGTGTGATAGAGCTGCCAAGATCTAGATTTCGTCCCTGCTACTGGACTCATCAGTTGGCTTAAATCACAAATATAATTCTGTATGATTACGAAAATCAAACACTAGAATTATATTTCTACACTGCTATGTCAAAAAAGACATAGTGGCAGTTACACAATTTGAATAGTGGTGTGATATAGCTGCCAAGATCTATGTATTTTTTCGTATGTTTTAGTTTATATTGGACTCATGTTTATCGTCTGATGCAAGGGCTGTTGGTAATGAATGTTATTTAGATTTCATGGGTAATATATGGTAATTTGATAGGTGAGTATGAGGGTTTATGTATTTATGGAAATATTGTTAGGACTCATGTAAAACTTGTAGAGAATGTGAGTGTTCATTGTAGAAATATTTGTTGTGTATTCTTTTGATGGTGTATATATTTATTATTTTATATAGAAGATTATTATCCTGATACAAAAATTGAGTAACATCTATATTTAGTTTTTATGGTGTTCATTGTTTCAGTTTGGAGTCAATTTTCGTTGCCTGTTGTTGCGTGTTTTTGTTTTATCGTTTTGGATTCGTTTTTAAGTATTGTCTGTTTTGGACGTTTTCGAACTAGTTCTAGTGTTAAGTTATTCGCATTTTTATGTGCTACAATGAGTTTGTTGTTCAGTATATGTGTGTTTTTGAAAATGTTTTCCCAAATTTCATGTACATCTTTTTGATATGTTTGCAGGCGTCTTTCATGTTTATAATGTAGAATCAGTTTCGATGTTAGTTCAGGTGACGTTGTTGTTGTTGTTGTTGCTGTTGTTGTTGTCCAGTTTTGTTGTTGATTCCCGATCACGTTGGTATGGTTCTTGTCGTGTAGATCTTCTGTATTAACACTTGTAGTTGTGAATGCTTTCGTTGGTTTGATTTTCCGTGTTTCAAGAGCGCTTTTTCGCATATACTGATAGTTTACGTGTTGTGGAATTAATGCTAATAAATTAGATGTTATTTGTTGGTGCTTGGAAAAAAATTTTCTGTAATGTTTGTCGAGGACTTTCGAAGGATATCTAATGGAGAAAAGAAATGATGAATGAAAGACAAATGATCAAACAAAGTTCGAGTACCCGTTATACAATAACGTTAAACGAATATTTCTACGCTCTTTGTCAAATTCTTCAAAACTTGAACAGTACCGTGCGGCTCGTGTTATTTGACCTTGTATAATATTTGGAAATGTATGTCTAGGATGATCTGATTTGAATGGTGTGATGTAAGGTTCAGCTGATTCTTTGTGATGCACCGATGTGATGAGAATACCTTGTTTGTTTTCTATGTAAACATCCAGAAATGTTGCATTAAAACCGATGCTACTGTTTAGTTTTATATTTGGATGAAAATTGTTCGCATTTCGTAACAATTGTTCTATCTCCTGCTTGGTTTTATTTGTAGTAAGGAAGACATCATCAATGTAGCTGTTGAATGATAAAGCGAAAGCAAAGTTTATTGAAATATGTAGGTTTGAAAGGTAGAGCCTACCGGCCATATATTTCTACAACATCAGATAGTTGAGATAAAAGCTCTTTTTCCCATTTCCACATGAATATATTTGCTAATGTGAATGTGAAAGGTGAACCCATTGCTCCACCTAAGATTTGTCGATATATTTTTGATCCATCAACGAATACATTTTCTGTTAATACTAAACAAGCTAGTCTTCGTATGGCATCTATTGGAATACCATCAATCTTCCTGTAACCATGTTCGATGAGGAATTCACAAAGAACATTTAATGATTCTTCTTGTGGCAACATTGTGTAGAGATCAATAATATCGAATGTACAGAACAATGTTGACGTTTTGAGACGTCCTATAGCTACATAATCAAGGAGTCGCTGAATAAGATCACTGCCGTCAACAATGGTGGTTGATCGTGCATGTTTGTAAAACAATGGGCGAATCAATTGATCTAAGAATCGTGAAATACCAGCCGTTGGTGCTTTTATTGTGTTCATTATTGGATGAAGTGGTGTAGCTGGCTGTTTTTGCAAAAAGAAAAAACACATCAAAGCGAATAGTAAAACAATTATAGAACGGAATAAGTCAATTATAAATATTACTTTGTGTACTTTTGGAAGATAATACATATGTGATAATTCCACTTTGTGTCTATCAGGCATCATTTTATTATATTGTTTTTTGATGGTAATTTGCTTCTTAGAAAGTAATTCATTAAGTAAATGAGTTACTTTATTTAAAATTTCTGATAATGGATTTTCTGATAATTCAATATATGCTCTTGTCTTTGTTTGATATTCTATGATCTTGCGCTCATAATCACTAAGTGAACCTATATGAAAAACACCACTTTTATCTGTTGGACGTAGAACAAGTTTTGCTTTTTTAAGTTTTCGTCGAATAGTTTGCACGAGATGAAGCTCATGATGTGCGCGTATATCATCATAGATAGGTATGGCTGACATATGTCGAAAAGTTAAACGATCTTTCAATTGATTTGATAGCTGTTTAATTACACTTGCATTGGACGGTATATAACAATAACTGAAAAGATAATGTACTACTTGTTTCATTAGATAATCATGATCTTGTTGTACGCGAAGGAGTCGTTGCTGATAAGGACGTAGAGCACTTTGATTCGGTCGAATATAGCTTGGACCTATCAAATATAAGAAAATTACTATAATGGGTATCAAATATCTCAGCATTTTCATAAAATGAACCTGTTTCAGAAATATATGATAATTCTTTATCATTGAACGGAAGGTTAGATACATCGATAATAGTTTGTGGATATACTTCAGTAATTTTATTTTGAGTTGATAATAAACGAGTACGACGACGAAAAAGTGTGCTACGAAAGAAAGTCATTTTAAAACGACATGACTGTTTCATTTGGTGTATCCGATTTTCTAAAAAAGCTTTCAGTGAAGTCAATAAAGACATTTTGTAGCCGTCAGCATTGCTCATTGAACTCATATTCTCAAATATAGTTAATTCTTGCTGATATTGTTGTTCAGTAAGAAGAATCTTTTGTTCATAGCTGTAAATACAATCATTGAGCATATTTCGTTTAATTTTTCGTACCATTTTTTCTTTCATTCTTAAATCTGAGAAAGTATTATTTTCTTCTGAGTTGATTTCGTGAATAGAAATATCATCGAATGACTTAGGTAATAATCTACATAGAATTCGTTGCTCTAACATAAGTAGCTCTTCATAAAGTTGTATTTGTTCGTGTTGTATAGACATAAGTCGTTCAATTCGTTCAAGCTAAAACAGAAATTAAATGGAGTATATAGTTTTTTAATTGAGGGATAAGAAGCATGCAAAAAACAAAGCATTCTTATCGCCTTTGTGTTTCTTATTAGTTGATTTTCATACTTGTTCAATAGTCATTTGATATGATGAAAGTTTTAGCCATAGATGATTATCGTGTAGCTTGGCTGTTAACTTAGCTTTTTGACAATTAATTTTTTTCGTAAATCGTTTTTGATGAAGTTTGACAAAATCTTTCAGAGAATTATCTATTGTTTCTAATGATAATGTTGATGGACGACGAAGCATTTGACTAGTTAATTTCTCATTGCATTGCTGAAGATTCTTTTCGATTTCATGTAAATAATTCATGATTAAAGGTTTTATTTCTTCATCATTTCTTATTTTAACTTTCATTATTACCGATTCCTAAAAGTTTATATAGATACATATACACTGAGAAAATTAAATAGATAGGAAGAATTTTTCATTGAACGCCTTCATATTTGTTTTATCATAAAAGACAAGCTTACCGGCCAGACTGAATGTTTTATTCCAAAATCAAAATAAAATTGCCATAGGTCCCGCCAAAGTGTAACACAATATCGTTGATCAAATAATTTTAATCGAGTAAGAACAAATTTCCGTTCATTTGATGTCTGCAATCGATGTTTAAGATGTAATCGTAAAGTTCGAAGGAGAACAGATGATTTAACTTTTAGATATTTCGATTTTCTAAATAAAGCATAATTTTCTAAATAAGAATCTCCATTGTATAGCTTGAATTATTGACGAACTTATAAATCTTGTCAAGAAAATGATCATGCTGTTTATTACTTGCCGGTAAAGTTCGTTTGTCTTCCTTTTGTTTTTTCTTTGATGGTTCTGAAATAGATATTTCTGAGAGTGTTCTGCTTGCTGTTGTAATTCTTCCTTGTTGTATCGGAAGTTTTTTTTCGTTTTTTCGTAACATTTCTATCATATGTCGTTGAAACCTTTGAATGTAAAAAATTATTGAACAAAAGATAGAATACTCTTTACTAAAATGGATTATATACCTCTATTGTAGTCATAAACGAAGTTCTATTAACATTTTCTGTACTGAGTTCCATATTAGAAGAGTTTGACTGTAAATTTAACATACTACAAGTTTCATGATTCGAATCTACCATTCTTTTATCATTTGAAGTCTGTTTACGCTTTCGTCGTCGTATACGTTGTACTTTCAAGTTACCGTGACATTTTTTCGTTTTTTGCATTGCTACTGGTGATGGTAAAATGGTTTCACCGGCAGTATAATATGTATTGAGATTTGAAGTATAAAATAGTTTAATTTCTTCGAAATCCATGGAGAATGAAATAGAATGAATTCTGTTTTGTATATGTAGATCAAAACTTAGATTTAAACTATGTTTTTTTTTGTTGAAATCTAAAATCAAAACAAAAAGAGGCTAGAAAGTCAGCAATCTCTTTATTCCATTAACATTGAGGAATTTATTTCCTAGTGTTCCCTTATTATTGAATTCTTTTCCGCTTAGTTTTAAAAGATGTTGCACTTGTATTTATCTGATTGAGTATTTTATTAGTAATATTTTCATTCTCGGTGATCAGATTAGGCACATCTTCAGTATTATGAGAATGATATCTTTCGTTGATTAATTCATTAATCCGATATTTGGTGAACCCACGTTGACGCCCCATACGCTTGAGCCGCTGTAGTTTTATATTAACATGATGTCTTGATGGTTTTCTCTTAATATTTAACAGTAACCCAGTAAGCTATTCGGTTGAATATAAATATATATGAAATAAACTCACTTGGGCGTCTTCTGGTAAACGCCGAGAAACCAAATTTTCATGATTTTGACTATCACCAATTATTGAAAAGGAATAATAATACTAATTATGTATCGAACTAGTTTAAAATCTAAAACAAAACGAGAAGCACGTATTGATGCATGTTAAAATTGTTGTCTTCCTATGAATATTTCAAAACGTACAACAAAGATGAAACAGAACAAGAAATATCATTAGTATCACTCTGTACAAAAAAATATACATAAAAACATGAAATATTCAACATTATCATTCGTTAGTTTATTTCTCTAGTCCAATTAAAGCGTTCAATGAATATTGATGTTTTGTTGATATCAATAATTTGGAGTTGTCATTAGACAATATTGGATGATGACGAAAATATTGAGACCATAATTGAAGAAATTTTTGATTATATTCACATATAGGACCCCATTCATATAGATAATGTAGCCGGATGAGACGCGCTTGATTATCCAAAACTTGAAGTTGATCCGTTTTAACATATCGTATATCCATATAGTGCAACCATTGTTTTCGAAATTGATCATATTCAGTCTGATTGTTTGTGTATCGTAAATGAGGTGTATGAAAGTATTCGAAAAAATGTTGAATATGAGTTTCAATAAATAATAAAGAGTAACCATTGATTAGATAGGATACTTCGAGATAAATACGTTCACGATGAAAATCTTCGATTGATGAACAGCAACAAACAGCTCGAATTAATGCAGAACGTAGCCAATCACTATGACCAGATTTTGAATGACCGACGATGTAAGGCAATGTAAATCGTGGAAGAACTGGATGATGATAAATTCTACTGTAGAATTGGCCTTCTTGATTTTCAATAAAAGTATTTAAAAAGACTACGTTATATCCAGTTAATTGTCGAAAATGAACGTCTAGACGTTTATCTTTTATATCCTGTAAGAAAATTGTAAGTTCATCGACAGTTTCATTAGTCCATGTGAAAAATACTTGATTTTTGTGTCTTCAATATAGAACAAAATAAGAAATAGAAAAGAAAATAGGCAGAAGTAAGAGTACGACATACCTGCCGAAGAATTCATTTTGTTTTCTTAAGTATTCAAAAATCATTTTTTCCCATTGAAATATATAAATATTTGATAAAGTTTCTGATAAAGGCATCGTTGTTGGACAACCCTTCGTTATTTTATAGAGTCTTTTGTTATATACAAAGGCATTACTATTTAAGAATATATAGAGAAGATTTTTAATGGTTTGAACAGTAAAATCTTCCAATTTATTAGATACTAAATTATCTTTTAAGAAGTAACCGATAGTATCTATCATGTTTGTATGATTATCTAACGTTGAAAAATTAGTTATTTCAATTGTACAAAAAATGGTATGCTGTTGAAGAAGATGTTCTTTTTCATTATAAGAAATAAATTTTTTAATAAAATCCATGTCATCACGAAATGTGGTCGGTTTTAATACTTTATTCACAAATGGTTGTAGTACTTGATGTAAAATTTTACCAAGTTTCGTTGTTGCACTATGATGTGTGACGATGTAGGGTACCAATAAAATTTGATTTTCCTAAACGATCGATCAAAAAATAGATAGAATTATTCTCGGAACTGTTTATATATATATATATATAACTAACTTTGGAAATGTCAGGTAGAAAATATAAATCTTGCAATTGAACTTTATCAATATTAATCAATAATTGCTCATAGATATCATTCGTAATGGCTTTGTGGTTTTTTAATTGTTCCAATAAAAAGTTCATTGAATCAATCATTTCTTTATTTTCATTTTTCCATTCCTGATTATCATCCATATCAGTTATGAATTTAATAGAATCAGATTGACTTAAATAATCATTGGCTTTGGTTTCAAAATCAGAACGATTTCCAACATAGAAAGTATTTCTATTATCAGCTGTTCGGCGTAATATAAGATTATTGTTCATTAATAGATATCGAATTGTTTGAATTAATTTTCTCTCGTACTTGGCACGTTGTTCATAGACTTCTGGTATTGTTAATGAAAAATTTTCTCTGAATGCATCCATCATTTTGTTGTTGATTTCCATGGATAATCCTAAATTAATATGATTATTGGAAAATAGACTATTCAGTTGATGTTTTAATGGTGCAAATTGTTTCTTAATTCTATCTTCTATTGTTTGAATTGATGAATTAATGGATAATTGAAATGGTGGTACATAAGTAGGTCCTCGACTTATTAATTGTAAATGTTGATCAGGAAATTTGTAATTCGTATCCATGATCACAAATAATGAACGTCCAAAGTATTGCATGTCAACATCGATGTCATTGATCGATTTGGTTTCCATATCATCATATGAATTTTGAAGATAAAATTCACTCCGATATTTGTAAATTGCACGCCATCGATCTTTAATTTTTTCCAAACTTTTTTCAATAATATTGATTAATACTGTAGGCATTAGCTGATTTGGCACTGCATTTCGATGATTGCTCCACATTGTTGACAGTTGATCGTCGAAAGTTTTTTGATCTCGATAAAATTTAGTTTCAGCTTGAAGGAGTTTAATCATCATCAGATCAATATTTTTCAGTTCAGGATTTTTATCAGAAGTGGGAAAAGTTTTTTCATCATCTTTATCAGCTTTAGGTATGATTGATGTTTCGACTGAATCCAATTTCAATAAACATTTATCATAAAAGACTTGTTCTTTTAATTCTAATAAATGTCGCTTCGATTTTTCCGCTTCCCGTTTAGTATCATATAATGTTTGAGCCATTTTAATTTGATAATCGTTAGGTTTCTCTTGTAAATATTGCCTTTTTAATATTTCGGTATCGAAATCATAATAGAGTAGAGCCATTTTTAATTTTCTTTTCAGTTCTAATGGTTTTAAATGATGTTCTTGAACATAATTTATTATCATATCTTCGATTTGTGTTGTGAATCCAAGAAGAGAATTTTTCTTGTCATCGATTTGTTCTTGATAAATATCGATCTGTTCTTTCATTTTTTGTATCTGTTCCAGAAGTAAATCACTACAGTTAAAACTTTGTTGTGGATCGTCTATGTCCCAAGTAGATGTTGTTGCCATTGTCGTTTCGGTAGAAATTGGCATGGGTGTTTCTTTCATTGCTTGCTGTTTAGTAGACATGAATGAC